ATTAAAATTATTAATTTTATAAAAAATAATAAATAAAATAAATAAAATATAAAAGTATGAATCACACACTTGTTTTTATTTTTAACAAAAAATTATATTATTTTAAATAAATAAAGTATAAACTTTTAAATATTTTATCTAATTAACAGAATTTGTTTATTAAGTTAATATAAATTTTTTCATTGATAAATTAATATACATAATAAAAATACAATAATTAATTAATGTTATTAAAGTAGAAAAAAATGAAGTTAAAATCAATTAGGTAAGTGGTGATTACATATTGTGGAAATAAATTAAAAAATTAAAAATGACAAATTTGTTAATTAGATTGAAAATTTTGATTCGATAGTGGTTTGGTATAAAAAGTTATCCAAAGTAATTTTTTTAATTCATTAGCATTTCGTACTCTAATCATTATCTACTAACTTCCAACTGTTAAATAAAAAATTTTACTAAATACTTAATTTACAATAATTTTCAAATAACCAAATTTATCAAACATATATTGTATAATAGTTTAGGTAAAATTGCTAATCAGTACATTCAAACTATTATATTAAATGAACCCTTAATTCATTAAATTTATCTATATATATATATTTAATCCCTAAAATTTTTTAATTTAAGGATAAAAAATATACATATATTATAAATTGAGAAATTAAAAATATCTATATTTTGATAAATTTAATGAATTAATTAAAAAAACTAAAAAATTATACTTTTTATCATTAAAGGACTAAAAAAATATTAAAAAATTAGGGAATAAAAATCATATAAAATTTCTAAATTAAGAAACCAAAATTCATATTTAACCAATTACTTAAGAAACCAAAATTCTAACACAAACTCTGTTTGACAAAACACTCAAATCCATCTTTCAAATAGGGGGTAGAGACAGATTTACCTTTTAAAAAATACAGGGACAATTTTTCCTTTAAATTATAAATCAAGACAAATCACTTATTTTTTAATAGATTCTGTTTGTCACGTTAGTATTTTTTAATGAAAAGTTGACGTTACACATTAGAAAATGGATGATTTGTCTGATTTATAATTTAAAGAGCTAATTTATTTCTATATTTTTTTAAAGAGTGAATCTATACTTACCTTTAAATAAGGGATGAATTTGTGAGTTTTGCTGCCCTATTTCACCCAGAAGTTGAGGCATCGGCACTTTTTTAGCTAAATTCAATAAATAGTTTATTAACTATGTAGTTTATTTCATTTTAGTTTAGAAACAATTTTTTCTTTCAAAATGATCTATAAACTATCAATTTTATTTCAAAATGATCTATAAACTATCAATTTTGTTTCAAAATGATCTATTTAACAAACATTTCGTTAACTAAATTAACAGAAATCTTTCCAACTGTTATGTGTGCCTCCTAAACTTTTGAAAAATATTAAATATAACACATATTTTTTTTGTAACATTTTGTTTTTTAAGTTTAAATTCTATATCCAATATAATAATTAACTAAGATGAAATTTCAATTTACATTAATTGAGATTTTAATTTTAATTTACAATAATCAATATTATAATTTAAATT